CCAAACCAAAATTTATATGATTATTTATTTTAGATAAATATAAAGTTAAGAATCCTATAAATTTTACAAAGTATTATCTTAAATTAATAATACTATCTTGTGACTCAGTATATAATGTTATTATAATGAAAGTTTAATATTGAGTTAGTGTAAAATTATGATACATAATTATGTTAAATCTGAAAAACAAATTAGATTAAAGATTTTTAATTATTGCAAAATTTTAAAGATACTTTAACCCTTTTAAGATTAGTAGCGGAATAACTTACCACCCTATTTTTACATACTCATATTATGATTTGTGGTTTTTATCCCATAACTTATAGAAAGTATTAGTTCAAAATTATAGTATTGGTCATAATATGTGATAACGGGATATTTCATCGGTACTTAGTAAAATTAGTAGTAAAATAATTTATCTTGAGACGAATTGAAAGAGAAATGAAAAATTTTAAATTAAGCTAAATTTGTCTAAAGAAAAAATAAAAAAAAAAAAGAAAAGTTATATGCCTTATGTAAGACTAGTTAATAATAACTTTAGGATCGATATTTATTTAAATTTACTAAAATTTTAAACAGGCAAAATTTTTGCAGAATGTTTAGAAATAATTGAAAATTTTTATTTATGATCTTTTAATTTTTGTAATTATCTCTATATTTAGTTTTAAATAACTAAATAATTTTGTAATATACAGGGTGGCCCACCACTCACTGACAACTTAAATAACTTTTGATCCAGTTAATATTTTTAGTTGATTTTTTTTTTAAATAATAGTTAGACGTTAGGTCTATAGCTATATCTCAATAATTAATTTTTTTACATTTTATTAAAAATATTAATTATTTTTAAATTTTAAATAAAATGTAAAAAAAAAATCTAAGATAGCTATTTTGTAGAGTAGAATTTAAGAAAAATTTTAGTAAAAAAATATCTTATTAATATTCAGTAGTAAATATTCTGTAGCGTTTTGAAGTTTGTGAAAATTTGAATTTTCATGTACTATTTTACGGTATTAAACATTGAAATACGTATTGAGAAAAGGACAGAAGAAAACGCTATCTTTTCATGATTACTGTGTATACATATGATGATAGTGTGTATACATTACAAACTTGGCATAAATACCATGATAAGAAATTAGATAAGGCAATTATTACTTATCACTCTCATTCAAAAGTATATTGAAAAGATAGCGTTTTCTTCTGTCCTTTTCTCAATACGTATTTCAATGTTTAATACCGTAAAATAGTACATGAAAATTCAAAATTTCACAAACTTCAAAACGCTACAGAATATTTACTACTGAATATTAATAAGATATTTTTTTACTAAAATTTTTCTTAAATTCTACTCTACAAAATAGCTATCTTAGATTTTTTTTTTACTTTTTATTTAAAATTTTAAAATAATTAATATTTTTAATAAAATGTAAAAAAATTAATTATTGAGATATAGCTATAGACCTAACGTCTAACTATTATTTAAAAAAAATATCAACTAAAAATATTAACTAGATCAAAAGTTATTTAAGTTGTCAGTGAGTGGTGGGCCACTCTGTATGTATATCGATAGATATATTTCGGCATCTTATTGCCTAGGTATAAAAAGGTATAGATACAAGCCTAAAAAGTTCTTGAATTTTGAAAAATTTGAAAAAGATGTTCAACAACATTTATCTTGTAATTAATGAGTGGGTTAGGTTAGGTGGATTACTTGATTATATAAAAACTTAATAATAAAATATTTAAGTTGTATTTTTGAATTTATAAAATATAACACAAAAAATAAAAACCTGTGTCGGTTTTACTTATAACGTAATTTCTATTTAATACCAATATATATAAAAACATCATGGTACAATTCAAAAAAAGAAACATAAGGTGTCGTAAATTCTCTTTTAATATAGATGAACTAATTCTTAATAATTAGTTATTTTTAATAGTAGAATTTATTTTAAATAAAATTATTGGATATAAAGATATAAAGAATTATTAATTAAAAACATATATATTTTTATATATACTCAATGCATATTTCAAGGATTTTATATATATATATACAATTCAAACTTATTACATACACATATATTTAGACCCTAATTATGACTGACGGTAAATATTATTATAAATAAACTATTTTAAAATTATCATAAATGTAATTTGATATATCTATTTTATTAAATATCATTTTTTGATAGGAATTTCCAATTGTCAATTAAATTTCCATTTAGGAAATTTCTAAATTACAACACTATTGTTAACTATTTTTTCAACTAGCAACATATTTTATATTTATGTATTAGCTAACTATCTAATTAAAAAACCCAGCACAGGGGGGTCGCAGCACAGTGGTGACGTGGCATAGTTGGATCAAGTATAATGATATCTGACAGTGATTAAAATCACTATCAAAATAAAACGCTTCGATGCAAATCTTTAGATAGTGTTTAATTTTAAAAAATTGGAGGATTATTCCAAAAGCTTCATAAACTGCTAGTTCCTTATTAATATCCTGATTAAGACAAAGTATGTCGAATAAAAAAGAGATTATTAGAAAATAGTATTTCCCATAAAAAAATTATATTGATCAATACACTTTTCAATAAGTTATAGCATTATAA